CACCCTTTTACTCCCTCCTCACCCTTTCACTCCATCCTCATCCTTTCACCCCCTCCTCATCCTTTCACTCCCTCCTCCTCCTTTCACTCCCTCCTCATCCTTTCACTCCCTCCTCTTCCTTTTACTCCCTCCTCACCCTTTTACTCCCTCCTCACCCTTTCACTCCATCCTCATCCTTTCACCCCCTCCTCATCCTTTCACTCCCTCCTCATCCTTTCACTCCCTCCTCATCCTTTCACTCCCTCCTCACCCTTTCACTCCCTCCTCATCCTTTCACCCCCTCCTCATCCTTTCACTCCCTCCTCATCCTTTCACTCCCTCCTCATCCTTTCACCCCCTCCTCACCCTTTCACCCCCTCCTCATCCTTTCACTCCCTCCTCATCCTTTCACCCCCTCCTCATCCTTTCTCCCCCCCCGGTCCCATACCCAAACCCAAACATTTTATAATAGGACATAAAAATTTCGTGACAGATCTGATGTCATTCAACTGTTACGTTCGTCAACATTTTAGTTGGACGACATCTCCTAACACAATAAGCCTCGTACACGACCATCGCTTACTGAGTGATATTGTCTTGAACACACATGATCCCCTTTTTTAGTCCACCGCCCACCCAACGGGCTTTGACATGGTGGGGGCAGGTGACTAGAAACGGAACAAACAAAATGGGAAACAAAAAATAATAAAACGATCGAGAGATACCATTACAAGAGAGCAGACCAGAAACGCGACAAGAATAGAAAGATTACACCATGACGTAAAAAAAAAGAAAAAAAAAAAAAAAAAAAAAATAAGTATTGAAAAAAAAAAAAAAATAAAACACAAACAAAAAAAAAAAAAAAAAAAAAAAAAAAAAAAGTTAAGTATTGGAAATAAAGAAACATTTCCCAATCTTGTGCATTAAAACAGTTTAATGATCTTTTCGTTTCTTTTTCTCTTCCGGAAGTATACTAATGGGTTGAGTTTTTTAAAAAAAATGAAAGAATCCTTGATAAAAGATTATTTTAATTTTTTTTTTTTTAGAAGCAGCTTTGTGAAGATATGTTATTTTTCATTATTCGATTATTTATTACTTTGAAAAAAAAAAGGGGGGGGGGTTAACTAGCAAGGATAGA